CATCCGTCATTAATCTTATGAAATTTTTTCATGAAATTGTTAATCTTGTGAAATTGTTTCATATAATACTTTTTTTTGATGAAGTTGTTTCATATGTGGATATGAAATTGTTTCATATGTGAGTATGAAATTGTTTCATATGCTACTTAATGGAATTCTAATGAAACTGTTTCATGTATTTCTCTAAAATTAAAATAATGAAGATGATAATATCCATGATTAACACTCTCCACAATGAAAATGGTTAATCAACCTCTCATAATTACAAAAAAATGAACAAAATGAAAAATTATGATTGGTTGAATGAGGTTTTCATGATTTTTACAAATTGAGTGGTTTTTATTAGAACCCACCCCTATATATATATATATATATATAGGGGATTAATCAAATGAGAACTGATTAGTTTGTGGTAACTGTGAGATCCAATCTCAACCACAAATCAACGGATAATTTAGGAAATTAATAATTATGATAGTTTGAGTTAAAATGATAATTAAAGAACATTTTAGGTAATTTTAAAAAACTCCTCTCTTCTCTTATCTCTCATCTCTCCGACCTCCCATCTCCGGCCTCCGGTGAACAAAAATCCGGCAGATACCAAGTAATCACAAAGATACACAATGTGATACCCATTGTGATATACAATGATATTCAAATGGTATCACAGTATATCACAATTGGTATCACATTGTGTATCTTTGTGATTACTTGGTACCTGCCGGATTTTTGTTCACCGGAGGTCGGAGATGAGAGGTCAGAGAGATGAGAGATAAGAGAAGAGAGGAGTTTTTTAAAAATACCTAAAATGCCCTCTAATTATAATTTTAACTCAAACTACCATAATTATTAATTTCCCAATTTATCCGTTGATTTGTGGTTGAGATTGGATCTCACAGTTACCACAAATTAATCAGTTCTCTCTTGAATGAGCTCATATATATATATATATATATATATATATAGTTATAGTTATAGTATGATAAAACAAAACAAAAAAATATGATTTTCTTCAAAAGCCTAGCTAATGTGATTATTTTTGAAGTGATGCTTAATACATATATAGTAGTTATAATAAGTATTAATGTATAAAACAATAATACATACAATATTAACAAATTAAATCAACAATATTCCATTAAAAAAATCAACATTATTGATTTACAAATTAATTCAATGTGATTTACAAACAACAATATTAAGGTTTCATAACAAAATTTGAAATCCTCATAAAACATGCATGCAATGCAATGCATGATAATAGTTGTTAATTTATTAATGTAATAAAAAATCCACTGAGTTAACACAAAAATTGAATTTCTAAAGCATATATATTGAACAACCAAAAATATATAACATAAAACCATATTTCACAATTGTATTTGTAGGACATATATGGAGAATGGTTTGGGAGGCAGTTATCCTTGCATGTTTATATGTGGCTGGCTCTCCCCACAAACCTCTTTATGTGATGTTCTATCCATATATATATATATATATATATATGGCTCTAACAGAACTTTTAAAACTAAAGAAACTAACATAAGATAGCTAGCTTAATTATAACCCTATATATATATATCTCTCACTCATGATAAGGAGACCAGCTGCAAATCTTGAAGAATTGAAAACCATTACCGTTTTGTGTTCTCATGCAACTGGCCTTTGAAGAATCATCGATATCATTCTCTCATCTAATTTAATTAGATTCAAGAGTATCATCCTTCATTTATGGGCAGTCCATAAGGAGCCCAGTAATTGTCAAGATCTGCACACTGCTCCATCGTCATGAACCGATTGTTGTTTGCATTGCTACTCATATCCCCACCATAACCCATGGATTGCTCATTTCCGAGTCCGCAACTGTTTATAAGCATCGAAGAAGTTACATCCTCTTGTGGATATGGTGGTAGTGGTAGGGGTGGTTGTGCTCCACCCATTGGCCTCATTGGTGCTGAAGTTGATCCTCTTAGGTTTAGATTCAGCCCAGAAATAGTAAAGCATTCAGCTCCACCTCCGTTAGGGTAGTTCATCTGGGTTTGGTGCAGAGGCATATTCGTGTTACCTCTAAAAACCCTAGAAAACTCAGAGAGGTCAGCATTGTTCATGTAAGTTCTTCCTAATCCAACCGGGAATTGGTAACTTGCAGTTGGATCCGATGGAGGCATATGAATCCCTGAAGCAGGGCCAATATCAAGGTTGTAGGGATTAATCATGCCTCTTGAATGACTGGAACTGGATGACGGATACTTCTTGCCACCAGCGGTCTTTTGGAAAACACGACAAACAACCCACTCATCCTGCATGTGAATGAAACCAGAAAATCTTAGATTTCAAATCACCAGTATATATATAGCAAACTCTACCATGACTTGAGAATAAATTTTAACTTTTCTTTGTTTACATGCATATAGGATTGATCCATTAGTAATTATATATTGATTACTAGCTAGCTGTTCACATGAATTTGTACATTTTTCCAACATATGTATATATATATATATATATATATATATATAGTGTCGAATTTAGTTTCAAAATACTTGAAAACTTTAAGCAAGATGGTACTTGAGAGTGGAGTCAGGAATTGAGATCTTTGGGCACTATTTGATTTCTTCAGTTAATGACTAAATACTATACGTACTCAACAGGAAACCGGATTAAGTTGGAGCAGCAGCAGATGATGATGATACGACCGAGAGAGGAAATTTGCTTAATTTTATGATCATACAATATTTATAGCAATAAAGCAACCCTTAAAACTATCCCACTCTTCTACTACTATATATATATAGTAATAGCATCCTACGTACCCATGGCATGATCTCCATTAAAGAAGGACATGGCTTAATTTTACAAAGCAAATTAATACTAATGAAATAATAAATTAGAAAACTGAAGATCGATACTAGTAAAATGGAATTGACTATATCGTATCAGAAGATCTACATCAGTTTCTTATGGATTTTGAAACAAAATACGCATCTGAAAAGGTGCTTMAGCTTTACCTTGGAAGTTCGAAATGCAGATTTGGCGTGAACACGATATTCATGCATGACCCAATTAGTTTTTTCACCACGAGGGGCTCTCCCTCTATAAAATACCAACGTCTTCTTCATACCAACAAGCTCGGAGGTGACGCCATTGAAGATCTCCTTGTCCTTGCCCGTTGTCTTCCAATACCCGGTGTTTGTGGCTCTGTTTGTTCTCACTCCTGTTGGATATTTTCTATCTCTTAGGCTGAAGAAATACCACTCTTTCTCTCCCATTTTTGCCTTTCCTGTTTCATATTTATCCCACAACGTTAAGTTAGTTGCTTATTCAATGTGTGTGCCTGGAAAACTTTGGTCTTTTAGAGGGTACCCAAGTAACATATATATATATATAATCTAAAACCTCTTGAAATTGTGAGAGATTGTCATAAAAAATTAACAAAATCTATAAGCTGCAAGTAGATTATCATGCACAAATTAACACTACTTGGATCAATTCATTAATGAGTTTCTTGTGGTTTGTTGGCAAAAATGAAGTTGAGATTAACCATCACTACAAGAAATGTTCACTTGCACGAAACATCACCAGCCTTCAAAGATAAATCTTCCACGAGATTCTCATTTTCCTGCCAATTTTAATTATTCTAATATCTCCCTAACAGTGATTCTTTTCTTCTTCTTCTTCTTCTTCTTCTTCTTAAGAAAATAAATTTATGATACCCATTGTGTTATTCGAAAACCCAACTGGATTTAGCAGAATAATATATGTAAATCAATGATAATTATAAGTGCTTTTTCCATTTCATTTTCTTTAATTTACCTCCTGAATGATGATGATGATGATGATGATGATGATTGATTCAGATCTCAGAAGAAGCGATAGCATATGCTCTAGGTGGAAACACAGTTCCCCCTTGGCTAACTTTGTGTTCTAAAATCGTGATTATAACCGTACAAGGACAAAAAGCAGATAGTATATATGCATGTATGTATGATCTAGCTAATCTAAGAAATAAAGAACATATATCGTGGACCAAACATCAAAATACGAGTACTTCAATTAAACTTAATGAAAACTAAACCCTAATTAATTAAGGTTTGTTTTTCGTAAACTGGGATTTTGATAGGGAAACAGTATTCGAGATTCCCTTTTGTAGTTATATATGTTGGCCTTGCATAAGCATAAGCCAAAATGATAACACTTGTTTGATTAAAACAGCATCGCATCGCATATATACAATACAATTAGTTGTTGAAGAGAAATTAAGTAGCTATATATATATATATATATACACGTACCAGGAAGATCCCAAGGCTCACATTTATTGAGATCAACGTCAGTAATTGCCCTACCAGTAAAACTCGAATCCGAGATCTTGTTTATAAGATAAGAAGTGATGAGTTCTTCGTCGGTAGGATGAAACCGAAACCCTGGAGGAAGTGTTTCTGCCTCCTTGTTCACTTCTCCTTCCATATCAAGTACTATACGTACTATACCCTTAATTTCTTAAAAAATATAATTGTAATTACTATACCACAAGTTAACGTTTGATCATGCAAAAGAGGTGAAAGGAAAGCAAGGTGTTAGTGGTAATGGTGATGGTAACTCAAAGATAAGGTTTAAGGTGTAGAGTTGTGTATGAAATTTTCTTGCCTACTTAGTTAAAAACTTGTAACTTACAACTATAAAAAGAAACAAGGAATTGAAGAGAGGCCAGGGTGATTCTAGGAAGCTCTCTCACCTACTATCAGTCTTAAGATATACACTTTCAAATGAAAGTCGTATATAATTATATATATAGAACCCTAGCTAGCTAATTTTATTATTAATTACATCCATTCAATTCTCGAATTTTCAAATTTTGAAGTTATTTCCACGTATGTAATAAATAAACAAGGTTTCGGTTTTTCTTATAAGGATCGATCAAGTCACATTAATTCCAAACGGGACTTTGCAGTTGCAGTGCCATCATATCATATCATGCATGCATCTGGGAAATCTTTAAGAAAATAATCATTATTCTGATATCAAATTACATGCATGGATCCCTTTTCGTTTAATTTCTTCTTCTTTATTTTTGTAACTTAATTAATTAAGAAATACCTCCTCATAACGATCAAGACGAGGGAATTAGCATGACTTGTTTTGATTTCATTTCCCTACCTCCTATAATAATAATAATAATAATAATAATAATAATGTAAAAAAACTTAATTCTGTATTACGTTTTCTTTTTTTCAGATATGGGAAAGGTGATGAAAATGGATCACAGGTTCAAAATTATAGTTGTGATAATACATTGAAATATTATTACAAGTGTTTCAACACACAAATAACAAAAGTTCATGCGACGTAGCTAGCAACTTACAACCATTTTTAGTCGGTTACCCGCATTTAACAAAAAAAAGTTACTAGCAATTAATTTTCAAGCTAGTTTGGATCCTAGTGACCCATAACTCTATATGGAACGAATGACAATATTATGATAGGTTTAGAGATGGAAACAGGGCGAGAATACACCCCAACCCAAACCCCGAGCTTGGTTTATATATGTCCCCTGTCCCCAATCCCGTCCTGCTTAATCCCCGACAAGTATAGGAACCTGCAGTATACGCGTTTAGAAAAATAATTATGTACCTATTTTGAAATGAAAAAAACAATGAGTTCTTAATTTTAAAACAATTAAATAAACCTCAAGTTTATTTTAAGAACACCAAATGGCATAACCAACCACATAAAATCATAGTTCATCACAACTTCAAAAGCATAAAATTATTAAGCTAACATACAAATAAGTCAATAAGGGCAATAATGTAGCTAGATATTTTTTATAATTTTTATTTTATTTTAATTAATTATAATTATCTCATCATTTTTTGTTGGGATTGATCGCGTTCACCGTATCACTTTCTTCCTTTTCACTTTTTACTATCCTTTTCTTCCCATTGGTTTATAGTATCCAAAAAATTTTCGACCTAAAATGGAGGATTTGAATGTTGTAAGTTAGTAATTAAGAATTTTGATTTTTATCACATGTGATAAACATCCTAATTTGAAATTATTTGAAGATGGTTATGTTGATGACGATGAAAGTTCGATAATAGTGTGATAACAATAATGTTTCATAGTTTTTTTCTAAATCGGTTATGTTATCGTCAGGAGTATAATGATATGGGCTTTTTATCACATGTGATAAAAGGTACACGAAATTCTGAATGTTAACATTTTTAGACGATTTTTAGTTATTGGTACATGTTGATTTGAGTTTAATGTTTCTGATGTTTATCACAAGTGATAAATATCCCAATTTGAAATTGTATGTTACTGTAATTCTTGATGAAGTTGATTATCACATTCATATCACACCAAATTGTGTAGTCGATTTCTTAAGTTAAGCCTAGCCGAGCGGAATCCTTGTGATAATTGTGTGATAATCACATGATTATCACACCCAAATCACATCAAATCGTGCTGAAATAAACGATAACCATAATAGCCCATTATGTTATCCCATATAATCGGGTTTAGTGTGATCGTGTTTTTAAAATTTTATCATTTTGAATTCCAATATTACCCTTTTGCCTCTCAAATTTTTTTGAATTCTATTAATTTCATTTTTAATTTAAAAGATCTTTTAATTTTTATTGTTATCACAATATGAGGTTAATAGGTTGTTTTCGCATTTTCGCAAATCATAGAGGTTATCATTTGAACATTTCCACATATATATATATATATATATATATATATATAAGGGCCTAATCAAATGAGAACTGAATAATTTGTGGTTGATTGTGAAGTCCAATCTCAACCACAAATCATCGGATAAATTAGAAAATTAATAATTATGGTAGTTTGAGTTAAAATTATAATTATAAGTCATATTAGGTATTTTTAAAAAACTCCTCTCTCATCTTTTCGACCTCCGGCCTCTGGTGAAATCGGTATCACAGTATATCACATTGTGTATTACAATGAGTATCACATTGTGTATCTTTGTTTTTAAGGTTTGAGTTGGTATCATAGTTGGTATCACAGTATATCCCAATGAGTATCACATTGTGTATCTTTGTGATTACTTGGTACCTGCTGGATTAATGTTCATCGGAGGCCGAAGATTGAAGGTCAGGAGAGAAAAGTTTTATAAAAATACAAGACAAGTTATGGATACAATCCTAGCACTCTTACTGGCCTCGGCCGCCGAGTTAGCCAAAAAATACTCCCACCGTATAAATAGGGCCGGTAATCAACTTATGCTTTAGATTTTGGGGGGGGGGGGGTCTTTGAAGTTTCATCTAAAAGAAACCACCTAACAATATAGATTTGTGTTGTTTTTTGATCACTAATTAAAAGAAATATATATATATATATATATATATATATGTATGTATAGCCATTGGACATCATGCATGCATGCATTTCCATTCTAATTATAATGCAATCAATTCCGAACCCAAAACCCTAGCTTGGTACGTACACAGATAGAAAAACTTAAACTGAGCGATGTGAGATGAAATCATGGAGTTAAACAATTAGTTCCTTTTGGTAATATGCATGGATTAAGACTAAGATATAATGAAAGAATTGAAAGAGCATATAATTAATATGAAAAGGAAAAAAAAACAAATGAGCAGATCGCAGGGGAAGTGACCTATCGCTGACTACCTACACTACACTACACTACACACATGCATACAAATTAAAAAAAGGAAAAAGAGGAGGTATATATGTCGTTTGATAATATTTTTAATCTCATATATATATATGCCAAATTTGTTACACCAACCTCATTAATAATATTGGAAAACATTTTTTAAATTTAATGAAATATATATATATATATATATATATGTAGCAAGTTTATTTTTCTTAATTAGGGATGTTATTTTGCACAATAGATTCTCCTTTTACAAATCCAAATATTCATACAAACTCAGTGTTTATGATACAATATTGTTTTATATGTGAGACGTTTAAAATTGTTCTTTTTCCACAGACATAACTTGTCTGAAAATTGGTTTCAATAATTTATTGGATTTGTAAATGATTATTCATCTAATGAAAAAAACATATATGGACTGTTCATAGGGCCTTGTCGTAGTAATGTAATGTAATGTAATGTAATTCCTTCCTTCTAGATTGAGATTGATTAATTAGGATTATGGAAAGATTTATGGGCATAATTAAGCTTTGCATTATTGAGCATTAAAAGGGACACATATCTGCATCAATCTGTCGTAATCTTCTCTTTACTTGTCCTACACTTTGAAAGTTTATAGATCTTGATTCACTAGCTCTTACCTGCCACCTTGTAACTTAATTAGTTCTTCTGCTATATATATATATATATATATATATATATATAGGTACGTGTCATCGTAAATAAATTTGGTAAAAGGGAAAGAAGTATCAACATCATTTCGGTCTTATATTTTATTTAATTAAAATTCTACACTTTCTTATTAATGTCGTGCCCTTCTGTATTACCTGTTCATCAAAATTGAACCAATTTGAGAACGTAGAGAGAGAGTTGACGGAAAATTCAGAACAGCAGTCTTATTGTTCACATTAAAAGAGACAGGCAATTTACAGATCGAAGACCAAAGGATAAAATCAAGATTTCTATGAGAAGGGAGTTTGAAGACCAAGTCTACAATATTATCTCAAGCAGCTAGCCCACCATGATAAGAAAAATTCGTCTGGTCATCAAGCTCATATATATATATATATATATATATATATATATATATATATATATATATATATATATATGCATATGTTTTAGTCATAGACGAAACCCTATTGACATCAATATCTAGTACTTATATGTATTTAAAAATATGTTCCTTGCTTGGTTGGGGAAAATGTGCACAACCATGAGCGAGCGACGCGCTTTCATGAAAACATCGATCTCGTTTACCAACGACTTTGTCGATAAAGCTAATTAAGGTGATCAATCATATATGGTTGTAGTTGAAAGGCAGTTGTCACCAAGACCCTCTCTTAATTTTCTGTGTTATAAAAACACCCAAGAACGATGGATGGGCTGGTCGTAGTAATTAAAAATGGATTCCTCCATCTCCATGCATGACAACAGGCAGGCTACTATACTTGTCAAACACTTCACATATAAAAACTAGCTATCTAGTCAACTAATTATCAAATGCTAGTAATTGACTTATAATCATGGATGATCAAAATTAAAACGTAATTTAAGCCAAAACTTGTATTATGTATACGTACTTAGCTACCACTACGTACCGGATTGTGTTCCTAATTAAAAACCCAATTAAGATCAACATTATACGATTTTGACACTAGACAATATACATATATACATAATTAAGGTGTTAGTGTTTGATTTCCAGAAAGAGGAAATCATTCAGATATCGATGGGTACGTAGTTACAAGTACAAGAAGAAAGTCTGGATTAATTTGAGCTATATATGTTTCATTAGCTTTAATTAATTCACTACTACTACTACTAATTAATTGTTAGTTATTTGGTGTTGGTTATTGGTATATATATAATCTTGGATTACACACACACACACACATATATATATATATATATATATAGTACGTAGTTAGGAATTCATTAAAATTAAGTTAGTTAACGGATAAGGGGTTAAAATAGTGAAGCTAGCTAGTTTTGGATTTGGTTGCTTAATTCTAAGACTGATCATATATAACTTGAGTCAACCCACAATTCTATCTGAGCATCAATTATATATATATATATAAATAAAAGAAATTAAAAGAAAAAGAAATTAAAAGAAAAAGAAACTAATATATTATTTTTTTGAAAATATAAGCAAAAACAATGAATATTGATGTTATATATGTCTTTGAAATAATTTGAGATGGGTTTTTATATATTTTACAAAACTTATCTATATATATATATATATATATATATA